TTCAACATGATGTTGATTCCAAATGGTAACGTGTATCTTTCCTTCATTATCAACTTGCTACATCAGATGCAGTACCATCACATTGTATGGGTTGTAAAAATGTACCATCTTCTTTAATCACTTGTACTCTTTTGTTGTTGTAATCAGCTACTAATATATTACCTTTACCATCAGTAGACATACCACGAGGACTAGAGAACTGTCCGTTTCCATTACCTTCACTACCAAACTGACCAATATACTGACCAGTAGTAGCTGAGAAATACTGCACAAGATTAAGATAATGATCAGACACATAGAGCCTGTCTCCTACCAGCAATAAACCCCAAGGCCAACCAAACTGTCCATTACCATTACCTTTAGATCCAATCCTTCTTACTGCAGTACCATCCTTACCAAATACCTGAACAAACCCATCCATATTACTAGCAAATACTTCACCATTAGTATGAACAGCAACACCAGTAGTACCACTCCCCACATTAAAGTATCTCTGGTTAGTTAGTGTGGTATAGTCTCTTGATGCTTTTACTGACAGTTGATAAGGACTACCTTTAATATGCTGACCTCTTATAGTCACTGATAGTTCATATCCACCAATACTTTGAGGTGTGCATGATACAATGGCTGTGTTGTTATCATTAACTATAACAACTCTACCCTCCTCTTTACTACCATCACTTTTGATTAAGGAAGCCTCCAAAAAGCTTGCTGCTTTACCAATGCCTGCTGGTAAAGCCACTTTGAATTTCCTTTCTTTTTTTACTGTTGCCAGTGGAATAGCTAACCCACTATCAATGGAGTATGCATCTATATCTACCTCAGAGACACTTCCAAACTCATTGATTTCTTTATTGAAAGTAGACATATCTAGACGTGTTAAAATGGCTCCTTTTTCTTCTATTTCTAGAGGTAGTTTCTTATACTCTTCAATGCATTCCTCTAGTTGATTGGTGATTAGCTTCTTAACACTCAAAACTTCACCTGGATCAGTACGCTCATTCACTGATGATGCAAGATGACGACCATGAGAAACCTGTTTTACCAGTTTATGAAACTCGTCCAACTGCTTCTCCACAGAATTCCTCTTAGCGCTAGCAATCTCTTCTGTCTTCATTAGTAGATCATTGCATCTCTTATCTAAAGCAGCTTTAAGCTCTTCAAACATTTCCTTAATTTCCTGTCTTACTTCTTCCTTACGTCTTGCTATCTGCTCTAGCATCTTCTCTCCATTAGCAATAGCTTCAGTGACTGGAGGAATGACTTCATCACAACTAGCAACGCTTTGCTTTAATGCTTCACGTGCTGTATCACCCTCATCTAGGTAATAATTGTAATTGTGGCTTTTATGGTGAATGTTAAGACAAATCTGACAAACCAATTTATTGCAGTCATTGCAGTAGTATGTCAACTTTTCTGGATGCCGTGCACAATAAACAGCCTCATAATTAATAGCAGGCAGCTCAATGGATTCCTTTGTTTCTAGATCAATCAACTTGTGACTAGCTTCTTTCTTGTTTCGCTTATGACCTTTCTTACAATAATCACACAGAAACTGGCCACAATCACAGCAATACATGACAGCTGCATCACTGGAATCATCACATTTATCGCACAATATTGCTTCTTTACCAACAATCTTCTTTTTGATCAAAGCCTCTTTTGATTTATGTTCAAACCAAAGATTTTGAGTGAGGCCTTCAATTTTACCATGAAGTAACTTAACGCTAGTGTCACACGTTGGACACTTTAATGAGGTATCAGCACTACCTTGCTTCTCTTTAGCTTTTATTAGACACTTCTTACAGAATGAGTGAAGACAGGGAAGCATGAGGGGGTCAGTGTAATACTCTGAACAAACCTCACAAGTCATAGTGATAGCTGGACTGGTGTTTTCTGCCATTGCTGCCTATGAGAAAATGAGTAATCTCACTACATAGACAATAATCAACTCACTCAATCTGATTTAAAACTCCTGCACTGTTTATTCCTCTAGCTCGGCTCTCCTCTAGTCGCCTCTAGTCTGGCTGGTCCTCCTCCCTGTTTCAAAATAGGCAGCCACACCCACGTCTTTAGCACCCCCGCAAATTTTAAGCAAATTACGGATCAGTAAAACTGTTAAAATAAAAACCACTGTAGTGTATACTATAACCACGTGTCAAAATGGAGGCACTTGATGTAGCATTGCTGCCTATGAGAAATATTATTGAATGACAATGATTATCTCACTTAGTCTGATATATTAATTCCTGCACTGTTTTTGTAGTCTTGACTGAAGAAACAAGATTACCAGAAAGAGCCAAGCCAGTGAAGCAGGCACAACACCCCCACAAAATTTACGGATCAGTAAAATGGTTGAAAATTAGTATACTATAACCACGTGTCAAATAGAAGCACTTGGTGTAGAATTTTTAAAAGGTAATTTTATTACTTATTTCTAATTAGATTAACTTTTATTCAGGGTATTTACTAGAGGATAACAAGAGAGAGGGAGAAAAAAACGGAGTCTGAGACCCATATTGACCAATTTTGGTACTGGAACGAGTTTCAGTCTTTGGTAGCTAAATTATCGTTCCTTGGCCTGAGGGACAGATTCCTATCTTATTCTACCATCCTTGCCATTGAGAATAAAGTGGACGTGTCTGATATTGTTTATTAATGTGGGTGTGGTTTAAGATTAAAGATTATGTGTCTGATTGCTGCTCTGACATATTTAACGAGAATTTGTTGGGTGTGGTCACTGAGGAACTTCAGGATTTATTGAGTGGCTGGCTCAATGCCATATATGGTAATGGGCATTATTATTATTATTATTAGGTGACATTAGTAAGGAGTGGTCTGGTAGGATATTACATTACATATACAATTGCTATGGACGATTACAGTATTACATGTACATAATGTTTCAGCTTTATTGCTTAGGATTTGTGAGCTGTTTGATATTATTATTGATTTCCCTGATTCAGAATCAGCGCTGGTTGATTTGCGTGAGTGCTTGCGTCACGTTGATTTAAGAGAAGAGCTCATGGAATCATTAACTAAAGTGTTAGACTCAAATTTGCATGTAAGAAATCAATTTTCTCTTCTAATAAATTAAATTAATTTTTACGAATGTGTTCTTATTATTATTTAGTATAATTTGATCTATTTGAATTTTTAATAATAGCAATAATAATTATTATTATGATTCTAATATTTTATTTTCCCCCACCAGTTATGAGAGTAGGTTACTCCACCATGGTGCTAATACATCTGATATCATTACCCAGTACATCTCTTCAGTTCGTAGTCTAAAGCTACTGGACCCAACTGGTGTTGTATTGGAAAGAGTATGTGAACCAGTCAAAGCATATCTAAGGTATTATTAAAATTAGTTAACCAGTTTTAACAACTATTAATAACTACAGCCTAATAACTATTAATAACTACAGTTTAATAACTTTTAATACCTTTTAATAATCACAGGACTCAAAGTGATACACTGACATGATCATGGCCAGTCTGATTGATGATAGTAACAACGACCTTTCGGAGGTACATGTACATGTATTTGGTCATGTGATGGTCACATGACTTGTGTGTAGGAGCTGGCGAAAGGTGAGACTGTGTTGCTTGATCTTTCTGATGAGTATGATGATCCTGATCAGGACTTTGAGGCATGGGAACCAGATCCAGTAGATGCTGACCCTAGTATGAATATATTTATTATTATTATTATTATTATTATTATTATTATTATTATTATTATTATTATTATTATTATTATTATTGTTATTATTATTATTATTATTATTATTATTATTATTATTATTATTATTATTATTATTATTATTGTTATTATTATGATTGTGTTTGAATAGCAAACTTCAGATATAATGATGTAAGAGGAAGAGAATATTAATTTTATGTATCATTCATAAATAGATGAAAAAAGCATGTACTATGGTGCATGCTTGTTTCCAAAGAATGGCTTAAAAGTTGCTTCAAATTTTTGATACATATTGATGTCCTTATGCTATGTAGAAAGTTTGAGCCGATTCCGACTTCAATTTTTCAAGTTACGGCCATTTAAAAAAATTTGCCAAAATCTGAAAAATACCCAAAACTATAGCCCATGCTTTTTTCTGAAAAATGACCAAAAAATAACCCCCAATTTTTATTACATTTTCTGATATATATTAATAATGTCCTTATGCTATGTAGAAAGTTTGAGCCAATTCCGACTTAAATTTTTCAAGTTACGGCCATTTTAAAAAATTTGCCAAAATCTGAAAAAATATCCAAGGCTATAGCCCATGGTTTTTTTTTGAAAAATGGCCAAAAAAACACCTCCAATTTTATTACATTTTTTGATACATATTAATGTCCTTATGCTATGTAGAAAGTTTGAGCTGATTCCGACTTAAATTTTTTAAGTTAGATCCATTTTAAGAAATTTGCCAAAATCTGAAAAATACCCAAGGCTATAGCCCATAGTTTTTTTGAAAAATGGCCAAAAAACACCTCCAATTTTTATTACATTTTCTGATACATATTAATGTCCTTATGCTATGTAGAAAGTTTGAGCCGATTCCGACTTAAATTTTTCAAGTTACGGCCATTTTAAAAAATTTGCCAAAATCTGAAAAATACCCAAAACTATAGCCCATGCTTTTTTCTGAAAAATGACCAAAAAATTACCCCCATTTTTTTATTACATTTTCTGAAGCATGTTAATGTCCTTATGCTATGTAGAAAGTTTGAGCTGATTCTGATAACAGATTACTGAATTATGAGCTCCACACAGTTACTGTACATGTATTTCTATTTTTAGCTTATTGGTTCACATCTTTGGTGATCAGGATCTATTCCTGAATGAGTATTATTACTATCACTTGACTATGATGCTACAAGAGAAGTAATACCCCAATAATATTATCAATGCTCATAATAATTATCTCTCTTTTACTATTTTCTGTTTTTCTATTTCTCGTAACTTCAATAGCTACGGAACCTTGAGTTATTAAAGCTAAGATTTGGAGAGAGTAACCTCCATTATTGTGAAGTGATGATTAAAGACTCACATTACTAGGTCATGATGAGTGGGTGGGTCATCGAACCTTATCCCTATAAAGAAAAACTACTCACACAAGTCACGTATCTTGTACAGGTGGATGTGGTTGTGGGTGGAGTCAAACATGATGTACATTGAATAGGTTGATATGAGAGGAGTACCAGCAACACTGGTTAATATTGTGTCAAGATGTTAGCCATTAGCAGTTGCATATTTACGTGATTATTTAGAAACAACTAGTTTAAATTGATAGAGAGAGTAGACCCAGTTTATTTATTATCAGGTAGTGATTCACCTAGTGATCTAACTATGATATATAAAACATATGTATGATGTATTATACTGTACACTAGGAACATGTGTATGTATTACTATAATAATGATGATATTGTGATATTCTCTGCTTTTCCTGTATTTTCAAAATTTTTGAATCTAATAATAACTAAAATAGAGAGGAGAGAGAGTATGTATAAGAGATTAAAGGAAAAAGAGATAGAGAGTGACAAGAGTTCATTTCATACTATAAAGGTTGTAAGGTTATTTTTCTAGTGTGTCTAGTTTATTCCAGTGTTATTGAACGACTACTTTAATATTTCATTATATGGCTGTTGTTATATTCAGCAACATAAATATATCCATCCTTATCCAGTGCTACACCCCATGGATTAGATAATCCTGAGATTAATTTGACTTGTTTCCTGTCAGGACTCAGTACGTGAAGATACCCATTGTTACATGATATAAAGATATATCCTTCATCATCAATAGCAATACCACCAGGACTATTACAGTTACCAGATGGATTATTGTATGTATAAAGATGAGTTTTACCATCAGGAGAGAAGACTTAAACGTGATGTTGACTTTGAATGGTAATGTGTATCTTTCCTTCATTATCAACTGCTACATCAGTTGCATTACCATCACATTGTATGACTTGTACAAATGTACCATCTTCTTTAAACACTTGTACTCTATTGTTGCTGTACTCAGCTGCTAATATATTACCTTTACCATCAGTAGACATACCAATAGGATAACAGAATTGTCCATTTCCATTACCTTGATGACCAAACTGACCAATATACTGACCAGTAGTAGCTGAGAAATACTGCACACGATGAAGATTATGATCAGACACATAGAGCCTGTCTCCTACCAGCAATAAACCCCAAGGGTAATCAAACTGTCCATCACCATTACCTTTAGATCCAATCCTTCTTACTGCAGTACCATCCTCACTAAATACCTGAACAAACCCACCCATGCTACTAGCAAATACTTCACCATTAATATGAACAGCAACACCGTAACTACCATTCCCCACATTAAAGGATCTCTGGTTAGTTAGTGTGGTATAGTCTCTTGATGCTTTTACTGACAGTTGATAAGGACTACCTTTAATATGGTGACCTCTTATAGTCACTGATAGTTCATATCCACCAATACTTTGAGGTGTGCATGATACAATGGCTGTGGTGTTATCATTAACTATAACAACTCTACCCTCCTCTTTACTAACATCACTTTTGATAAAGGAACCCTTCAAATAGCTTACTGCTTTATCAATGCCTGCTGGTAGAGCCACTTTAAATTTCCTTTCTTTCTTTACTGTTGCCAGTGGAATAGCTAACCCACGATCAATGGAGCATGCAGCTGGATCTACCTCAGAGACACCTCCAAACTGATTGATTTCTTTATTTAAAGTAGACGTATCTAGACGTGTTAAAATGGTTCTTTTTTCTTCTATTTCTAGAGGTAGTTTCTTATACTCTTCAATGCATTCCTCTAGTTGATTAGTGATTAGCTTCTTAACACTCAGAACTTCACCTGGATCAGTACGCTCACTCACTGATGATGCAAGATGACGACCATGAGAAACCTGTTTTACCAGTTTACGAAACCCATCCAACTGTTTCTCCACAGAATTTCTTTTAGCACTAGCAATCTCTTCTGTCTCCATTAGTAGATCATTGCATCTCTTATCTAAAGCAGCTTTAAGCTCTTCAAACGTTTTCTTGATTTCCTGTTTTACTTCTTCTTTACGTGTTGCTATCTGCTCTAGCATCTTCTCTCCATTAGCAATAGCTTCAGTGACTGGAGGAATGACTCCATCACAACTAGCAACACTTTCCTTTAATGCTTCACGTGCTGCATCACCTTCATCTAGGTAAAAATTGTAATTGTGACTTTTATGGTGAATGTTAAGACAAATCTGACAAACTAATTTATTGCAATCGTTGCAGTAGTATGTCAACTTTTCTGGATGCCGTGCACAGTAAACAGCCTCGTAATTAATAGTAGGCAGTTCAATGGATTCCTTTGTTAGTAGATCAATCAACTTGTGATTGGTTTTTTTTTGCTTCGCTTATGAACTTTCTTGCAAAGATCACACAGAAACTGGCCACAATCACAGCAATACACAACAGCTGCATCACTGGAATCATCTACGCTACATTCATCGCATGATATTGCTTCTTTACTAACAATCTTCTTTTTTATTGAAGCATCTCTTGATTTATGTTCAAACCAAAGGTTTTGAGTGAGGCCTTCAATTTTACCATCAGGTAAATTAACGCTAGTGTCACACGTTGGACACTTTAATGAGGTATCAGCACTACCTTGCTTCTCTTTAACTTTTATTAGACACTTCTTACAGAATGAGTGAAGACAGGGAAGCATGAGGGGGTCAGTGTAATACTCTGAACAAACCTCACAAGTCATAGTGATAGCTGGACTTGTGTTTTCTGCCATTGCTGCCTATGAGAAAGTGAATAATCTTCTGGTAACTAATAATATTTAACTTACTTAAGCTGTAATTGCTGTTGCTTCAAATGTATCTGCTTCTCTTCCTTTGCTTGTCTATGAGCCCCGCCCTTGCTTGCGTGACTTTTGTTGCCAACACCCCCGCAATATTTTAATTGGTCTTGATCCGCCCACAAGTGAAGTCACACATGGCGTACGTCCAACGGTGATGCTGGTTTCAAGGTCTCAGTGGAATCACTCCATACTACAAGAGTCAAGGAGATCAACTATGATGGAGAAGAGATATATTAAGGGTAGCAGTCATTAAAATGGGATAAATTAATCATAAAAATACTTTTGCAAATGATGCAGTTATGTATGTATATGTAAAATACACTAGAATACTCACATACACCATAGATATTAGAGACTACGCATACACATATATGTATTTATTTGTAGGAGACCTTCTCTCTCTCAGAAACTAAGTGAATTAGCTCAACTTGTTGACTTTAGAGAAGAGAGAACTGATGATGATAATGGCAGACTGAGAAGAAGGAAAGAAGAAACAAGAGGAGGGCCCGAGTTTCTGGTCCTACAACTAAGAAACCAAGTCATCGCTGGCCATGGGAATTCACACACTCAAAACTCAAGTACATAAATACATGTATTTGTATAAACAAGAGTATGAATCCTGTATCAATGTATTGCATACACAAAGGATAGTTAAACTTTATTATTAGTTTTGTCTTTATTGCAGGCAAGCATTGAGCCATTGACTGAAGTTAGTGTACTGTCTGATGTGTTACAAATTGTTCATAATCATCATCAATACTTGTCACTGGATCCAGTTTATGTTAATAAGAAATACACATTACCGCCTTCATATCAATACCAAATTAAAAAGAAGGTTAGCTTCTCATGATTTGTTACTTTACTCAGTTATGCATGCACAATACATGTACCTCAATATAGAAGATTATAAAGGCATAGTATTGGCCATAGTGTGAATGTACCATTCCTTTACCTGTATTGTGTTTAATATAATTAAATACACAGATCAATAGGAGTTCTTTTAGTGAGCTTTGTCCCTATTAGATTGATAGTTAATGAATGTATTGACGTTATGTATCATTTATAAATACACGAAAAAAGCATATACTATGGTGCATGCTTTTTTTCCAAAAAATGGCTTAAAAGTCGTCTCAAATTTTTGATACATATTGATGTCCTTATGCTGTGTAGAAAGCTTGAGCCGATTCCGACTTGAATTTTTCAAGTTAAATCAGAAAAATGCCGATGCTTTCTTCTGAAAAATGGCCGAAAAAACACCTCCAATTTTTATTACATTTTCTGATACATATTAATGTCCTTATGCTGTGCAGAAAGTTTGAGCTGATTCCAACTTAAATTTTTCAAGTTACGGCCATTTTTAAAGAATTGCCAAAATCTGAAAAATACCCTGTACTATATATACAGTAGCCCATGCTTTCTTCTGAAAAATGGCCAAAAAACATCTCCAATTTTATTACATTTTCTGATACATATTAATGTCTTTATGCTGTGTAGAAAGTTTGAAATGATTCCGACTTAAATTTTTAAAGTTATGGCCATTTAAAAAAACTTGCCAAAATTAGAAAATACCTTGTAAAATGGCCAAAAAACCACCCCCAATTTTTATTACATTTTCTGATACACATTGATGTCCTTATGCTGCGTAGCAAGTTTGAGCTGATTCTGATAACTGATTACTGAATTATGAGCTCCACACAGTTACTGTACATGTATTTCTATTTTTAGCGTATTGGTTCACATTTATGGTGATCAGGATCTATTGGTGAATGAGTATTATTGCTATCACTTGACTATGATGTTATAAGAGAAGTAAGACCCCAATAATATTATCAATGCTCATCTTATTACTAATTTTTTTTTCTATTTCTTGTAACTTCAATAGCTACGGACCTTGAGTTATTAAAACTAAGATTTGGAGAGAGTAACCTCCATTATTGTGAAGTGATGATTAAAGACCCTACATTACTAGGTCATGACGAGTGGGTGGGTCATCGAACTTTATCGCTATAAAAAAACTACTCACAAGTCGCGTATCTTGTACAGGTGGGTGTGGTTGTAGGTGGAGTCAAACATGGTGTACATTGAATAGGTTGATATGGGAGGAGTACCAGCAAAACTGGTTAATATTGTGTCAAGACTCAGCCATTAGCAGTTGCATATTTACGTGATTATTTAGAAACAACTAGTTTAAATTCAATAGAAATGGAAGAGAGAGTAGACCCAGTTTATTACCAGGTACTGATCCACCTAGTGATCTAACTATGATGTATAAAACATATATATAATGTATTATACTGTACACTAGGAACATGTGTATCTACTAGTATATAATGATATTTTGAGATTTTCAACTTTTCTTATTTTCAAAATTTTGAATCAAATTAATCTATTAATAGCAATAATAATTAATAGTCACTTAAAGTAGAGAGGAGAGAGAAAGGGGGAGGGAGAGAATTCTGTGTGTGAAAGAGAGATGGAAGGGAAAAGAGATAAAGAGTGACAAAACATCATTTTATGAAGATTCTTTTCTACATGCAGTTTATTGCAGTTTTATTGAATAACTGCTTCAATATTTCATTATACGACTGTTGTTATATTCAGCAAAATTAATATATCCATCCTTGTCCAGTGCTACAGCCCATGGATTAGATAATCCTGAGATTAATTTGACTTGTTTTCTGTCTGGACTTAGTACATGAAGATAACCATTGTTACATGATACAAAGATATATCCTTCATCATCAATAGCAATACCATAAGGATATTTAAAGTTACCAGCTGGATTATTGTATGTATCAAGATGAGTTTTACCATCAGGAGAGAAGACTTGAACATGATTTTGATCACGAATAATAACGTGAATCTTTCCTTCATTATCAACTGCTACATCAGTGGCACCATCATCACATTGTATGACTTGTACAAATGTACCATCTTCTTTAAACACTTGTACTCTTTTGTTGTTAAAATCAGCTATTAATATATTACCTTTACCATCAGTAGACATACCACGAGGATGATAGAATTGTCCATTTCCATTACCTTTACTACCAAACTGACCAATGTACTGACCAGTAGTAGCTGAGAAATACTGCACACGATGAAGATAATTATCAGACACATAGAGCCTATCTCCTACCAGCAATAAACCCCAAGGCCAATCAAACTGTCCATTAACATCACCTTTAGATCCAATCTTTCTTACTGCAGTACCATCCTCACTAAATACCTGAACAAACCCACCATTACTACTAGCAAATACTTCACCATTAGTATGAACAGCAACACCAGTAGTAGTTTTTCCCACATTAAAGGATCTCTGGTTAGTTAGTGTGGTATAGTCTCTTGATGCTTTTACTGACAGTTGATAAGGACTACATTTAATATGGTGACCTCTTATAGTCACTGATAGTTCATATCCACCAATACTTTGAGGTGTGCATGATACAATGGCTGTGTTGTTATCATTAACTATAACAACTCTACCCTCCTCTTTACTCCCATCACTTTTGATAAAAGAAGCCTTCAAATAGTTTGCTGCTTTATCAATGCCTGCTGGTAGAGATACTTTAAATTTCCTTTCTTTCTTTACTGTTGCCAGTGGAATAGCTAACCCACTATCAATGGAGTATGCAGCTATATCTACCTCAGAGACATTTCCAAACTCATTGATTTCTTTACTTAAAGAAGATGTATCTAGATGTGTTAAAATGGCTCCCTTTTCTTCTAATTCTAGAGGTAGTTTCTTATACTCTTCAATGCATTCCTCTAGTTGATTGGTGATTAGCTTCTTAACACTGAGAACTTCACCTGGATCAGTACGCTCACTCACTGATGATGCAAGATAACGACCATGAGAAACCTGTTTTACCAGTTTATGAAACCTATCCAGCTGCTTCTTGACATAATTCCTCTTAGCACTAGCAATCTCTTCTGTCTCCATTAGTAGATCATTACATCTCTTATCTAAAACAGCTTTAAGCTCTTCAAACGTTTCCTTGATTTCCTGCCTTACTTCTTCTTTACGTGTTGCTATCTGCTCTAGCATCTTCTCTCCATTAGCAATAGCTTCAGTGACTGGAGGAATAACCCCATTGCAGCTAGCAACACTTTGCTTTAATGCTTCACATGCTGCATCACCCTCATCTAGGTAATAATTGTAATTGTGACTTTTATGGTGAATGTTAAGACAAATCTGACAAACTAATTTATTGCAGTCGTTGCAGTAGTATATCAGCTTTTCTGGATGTCGTGCACAGTAAACAGCTCCGTAATTAATAGCAGACAGTTCAATACGGGATTCCTTTGTTTCTAGACTGATTAACTCATGATTGGCTTTTTTCTTGCTTCGTTTATGAACTTTCTTGCAAAGATCACACAGAAACTGGCCACAATCACAGCAATACACAACAGCTGCATCACTGAAATCATCAACGCTACATTTATCACACAGTATCACTTCCTTGCTAACGATCTTCTTTTTGATCGAAGCCTCTTTTGATTTATGTTCAATTTAAACCAAAGGTTTTGAGTGAGGCCTTCAATTTTACCATCAGGTAAATTAACACTAGTGTCACACGTTGGACACTTTAATGAGGTATCAGCACTACCTTGCTTCTCTTTAGCTTTTATTAGACACTTCTTACAGAATGAGTGAAGACAGGGAAGCATGAGGGGCTCAGTGTAATACTCTGAACAAACCTCACAAGTCATAGTGATAGCTGGACTGGTGTTTTTTGCCATTGCTGCCTATGAGAAATATTATTGACAATAATGACAATGATTAACTCACTAATTCTTGCGCTGTTTTTGTAGTCTTGACTGAAGAAACAAGAAAGATGAATCTTTATTAGTGAAGCATGCAGGCCCAACACCCCCGCAAAATTTACGGATCAGTAAAACGATTGAAAAATTAGTATAGTATAACCACGTGTCAAATGGAGGCATTTTGTGTAGAATTTGAAAAGGTAACTTAATTTTATTGCTTATTTCTAATTAGATTAACTTTATTCAGGATATTTACTAGAGGAGAACAAGAGAGAGGGAGAAGAAATGGAGACTGAGACCCATACTGACCAACTTTAGTACTGGAAAGAGTTTCAGTCTTTGGTAGCTAAATTATTGTTCCTTGCAGATTCCTATCTCATTCTACCATCCTTCCCATTGAGAATAAAGTGGGCGTGTCTGATATTGCTTATTAATGTGGGTGTGGTTTTAAGGTTAAAGATTATGTAACTGATCTCTGCTCGGACAGTATTTGATGAGAGTTTGTTGGGTGTGGTCACCGAAGAACTTCAGGATTTATTAAGCGGTTTGCTCAATGCCATATATGGTAATGGACATTATTCTTACTATTATTATTATTATTATTATTATTATTATAAAGGAACAGGCAACAAGTCTAGAATATCATCAATAAAGTATTAGAATTGGTAAAATTAAGTTAGTTAGAAAATAATAGGTTAATTAAGTCATTGTTATTTTGTAAGAGAAATAATGTTATTATTATTATTGTTATTAGGTGACATTAGTAAGGAGTGGTCTGGTAGGATATTACATCACATATACAATTGCTATGGACGATTACGGTATTACATGTACATGTATGTTTCAGCTTTCTTTGCTTAGGATTTGTGAATTGTTTAATATTATTGTTGATTTCCCTGATTCAGAATCAGCGCTGGTTGATTTGCGTGAGTGCTTGCGTCACGTTGATTTGAGAGAAGAGCTCATGGAATCATTAACTAAAGTGTTAGACTTAAATTTGCATGTAACCAATCCATTTTCTCTTCTAATAAATTAAATAATTTTTACGAATGTGTTATTTTTATTGTTTAGTATCATTTGATCTATTAAAATTTTTAATAATAGCAATAATAATTATTATTATTTATGATTCTAATATTTTATTTTTCCCCCACCAGTTATGAGAGTAGGTTACTCTACCATGGTGCTAATACATCTGATATCATTACCCAGTACATCTCTTCAGTTCATAGTCTAAAGCTACTGGACCCAACTGGTGTTGTATTGGAAAGAGTATGTGAACCAGTCAAAGCGTATCTGAGGTATTATTAAAATTAATTAACCAGTT